CGATCCGTTTAATTGTCATCTGAGGATGGGATCACATGATTGCAATTTTCCAACGAACGATCTCACAACGAGCGAGAAGCGACCTTCGTGCGAGCGGAAAGAACAAAAGCGCTAATGTAAAGTAGAAGTAATAAAATTTTTTGTATTTTTACCCACTGAAGATGGCTCAATGCGGAGCCGAAACGTTTGGGTGATAATTATTATTGTTAAATATTTGTAATTTTAGCACTAACTTCGTGCAAGGCTCACTAGCCCTTCATTTGATACTTCGTTAATTTTTAATTATATGAGCCAGAATAATATATTATATTTATAAATTATTTATCTTTGCAAAGCAAGGCAAATGTAATCTTATAATAACTTATCTCATTCAGAGTGCCGGATTGCGCGAGGCATTTTATAATTCCGACTGGTACAATAATCCGCCATCAAATACAAAATTAATCGGCATTTGTATGATCCGATCTGAGAAACCATTAATATTGACTGCCGGCAGATTCTACGCGTTATCATTGAACACGTTTACGAGTGTGAGTCGACAAATTATATGTCTTTTATTGTACATTTTATATCATTTTTTTAGTGCATATACTTCTTAGAATGTTTTATTTGCAGATTGTAAAAACATCGATGGCGTACCTGTCTGTGTTACGCCACTTTTTGTAAAACAATATTGATTTGCAAATATTTTGTCGAAATTTGTCTGCGAAACACAAAAACATACATAGATAATCAAATTATTATAATTCATAATGAATATAATTATTACTTATAAACTTATCAATGCCAAATATATACATATGTTGTCTCGACCATGAAATGAGTAACAAACGAATTATACATTTATTTAACGAAATATCTCAAAATTATAATTTAATAATAATCAGTGTATTTCTCCTTCATATATACACGTACTTCATTTGAACAGCATGTGAACAGATTCAGTATAATATACTGAAGTACGCTGAATAAAGTTAGTCTGCATTTATAAGCTGTAATGGTCTGAATTTTTTTTCTACTTCTTGAAGTTGGGAACACATTTGTAATTCTTTTCGTAGAAAAACTGATTTCCATGTTACATACGCCAAGTTTTTTCTTTGTTTCGAGACACAGCGTCTCGACTGCCAAACAAAAATAATTAGCAAATAATTTTCGACAGTGGCCATATGGCATCACGGCTGTTTTCGTTGTACCGAGAGGTAAGATAATAGATGTATAATGAGGATAATATTGCACAAACTGAAGCAACAATTATGTCAATACTTTCTATTTTTTCAGTTACAATTGCGCTGTATAATGATTGATATAAATCGTCGACCGGCAATATCGATCGACTGTAGTTTATATCGCGAACAATTCCGCCTCTAGCGGTTTCAGTTCTAAATAAACATCGCAAGAAACTATGATTTTGTCCAAACAATTTAATATGAAAGTAAGATACGCGGATAATAATTTATTTCAATTTCGGAAATAGATCGAAAAACGATTATATACTACAATTTTATACATCTATTTTCGTTATCAATTTTAAAATAATAATCAATTTCAGAAAACAGATTTCGTATATCAAACTCTTGGAATCACAAATGTAATTTTATTTTACACAACCTTTGTCCTAAGCGTTTGTTCTAATCCTACCGATAGTATCTTGTTTTATTTTGAACTTTGAAATGTTTATTTAAAAACATAAAAGTCGATTTTTTCAAGGAGTTTTTCTCCTTAACTCTTTTAATATCCGTAAAAGCACCACACAAAGATACACATATCTTATTTTACTCTAAATTACAATGTATCTAAAGTTCATCAAAATAAAGAAAAGGGCGGAACATTTTGTTTTTTCTCTTGAAACACTGAAATATTAAACTAAAATTCTCATAAAATAAAATTCAAATTTGCAACTTGAGAAATCAAACATATTCCATTATTTACTCATTTTATGAGGAAGCCTGTTAATTTATGATGAGACACAGTTTCCATTTAATTGTATTAACTAATTGTTGTCAATTTATACTTAGTTTAGCTGTAATATTTAGTTTAGTTGTATTAAGTGTATTTTAGTTCTACGTGTATTCAGTTTTTTCTAATAATTTTTTATTTTATTAACTGCAAATAAATTTCATAATTACTACCAAATACCACCCACTTGTCTAATGATAGAAGGAATTATAGTACAACCCACACTTGTAAGATAGACACATTTGTAAATAAGAAACTTCGTCAACCAGAATATTCAAAGTGACAGGAAAGCATAGAATGATCTTAGCTTTTGTACAGTACAAAGACGATTAATAATATTACCTACTATTAACAATTAGTAATTGTGAGAGTATTAAAAAGTTTAATGAAACCATCTATCATATAATATACATCATGTTTATTGCGATCGTTGCACTTTTTCTACGATGTGCCAAATATAAAGAAATGTAAAAGACGTATAGATACGATAAAAGAAAAAGAGCAATATTGCTTTTCGTTGTACGAGACAGTAAGATAATTAGTGCGCCAAGTAAAATGATGGCTTAATAACAGATTGGTTATTAAGTTGTTTTGTTATCAAAGTGCACACTACAGAATTTAAAATTGCAAAATGTCAAGATAAGTACAAACTAGTCTAGACATTATTTATTTCGATCTATTGTGCGCATGGATTAACGTAATCGCGGCACAAGTTTGGTTAGCACGGAAACGAATCACAGTCGCGGACGATCAGTTGATGAAAAACTAAAACTCTCTTTGCTATGAGTGTAAGAAAGTTAATACTCTATCGCGACAGATATTCCGTTAGCCAGAAAGAAATCTCTGTGTTGTTTGATATTAGATACATATTATAATTACTTCATAATTTATCTAATTATAATTACTTCATAATTTATCTAATTATAATTAATATACTTAGCAAACGAAAATTAATTCAAATAAATTGAAAATTTAAATTTATTATAATTTATCTGAGTTGACGCTTTAGAGTCCGAAGATACATTTATGTCACTATTAGATGTATTATTTTTGGATTCAAATAAATTGAAATGAGCTATTCATCTTGTTAAACTCGGATGTATTCATGTATTATATTATTTTTTATTTCAAATAAATTAAAATACGAAATAAACTATTCATCTAATTTATCTGAGTTGATGCTTTAGAGTCCAAAGATGCATTTATGTCACTATTATATGTATTATTTTTGGATTCAAATAAATTGAAATGAGCTATTCATCATGTTGAATTCGGATGTATTCATGTCCGTATTATATTATTTTTGGATTCAAATAAATTCAAAAAATCAGAAGCGCCAATTCGGAAATGTCGAAATAAATTCATTTCTATCCATTTCAATGAATTTTCGTTTGCTATATAATTAATCTATTTTTTAAATATTTGATTTAATTAATATTATTCATCGACACAATTTTGATTTAAAATATAATAAATAAAATATAATATTACAGAATTAAATCGATCATATTGAAGACTTATTTGTTTATTTGGAATGGATCTTTTCCGTCGGAGGGGTATGGCTGTTTGAGCGATCGTACGTCCGTTTTGCGATTTATGTCTTGTATTTCATTCATTATTTCGTCATGGCGTTCATTGAGTTTTACAACGTCGTCGGTAATTTGGAACTGATGGTGATGAGTCTTCTGGAATCGACAGTTTACTTCATGATATTTTCGATGGTGTGCCTGATACATTGCAGTCATTTACTGATAATCGTAATTGATGAAATAAAATAGGATATGGCAGAGCGAAAGTTTGAGAATTCTGAGGAGGAGATAATTTACTTATACAATTACAATCGCGCATATTGAAGATATTCACATACAGTTCGAGTCGGCACGATCATCATGTTCCTATACTGCTTTACTTTAGACCGCTTATGTACCTCTTGATCACTAATCAAGGTATGTGAAATTTATTAAATCTAATTCTTTCTTGCTTATTTTGTGTTTAATTGTTGTAAATATAAATATATTGTATCTATAATATAATATCTATGGAAAGATATATAATATATCTACAATAAACTAACGGTTCTTTAAAACGAACCGCGTCGAATGCAGGCAATCTGGCTGACTCTTAATACGTTACCACTTTCGAGGAACATATTGTTACATTATTATTATTTAGAAATATTACAGAGAGATGCTTTATCAATTCCCTTCTTTTGTTTTTTCTTCATCTTTTTTCCTCTCCTCTCTTTCCCTTTTTTTCTGGATGGATTCAAATTCTTCGATAAGTGACTGGAAGAGAAGGATTAATTTCTAACAGGTGCTTTAAGAAGTTGTAGAATCGGAATGGTAACAGAAAATACGGATGCGACGCAAATATGAATGAATATGAAAGCTGACCGGCGGCAATTCATCAGCTCTTGCGTTTTTACTGTTGCTCTTTGCGGCTTGCAAACTTATAACGTTATTTACGCATAATGTCTTGCTTGTTAATTTGTATTTGTTAATAGGACTAATTTTTAGTATTACAGCCAGATTTTCATTGTTACATTCCTCGAACATATTTAACTGTACTTCACATTAACTAAAAGTGGAGTAGACGCGCGTACTTATATAGGTTTTTCAAATTTTTTTATTAGTCGCGCAAGGCGTAACACATTTATCATTTGCTGTGAATTTTTCTTATTATCTTTAACTATTGGCGTTGTTTAAAAAATATAAATTTTCTATAACTATCTCTGGTATTTTCAATCCGATAGGCGGATTGAATCTTGAGCGCGAGCGTGGCGTACAGGCCTGTTATAAAACTGGCCAAAAATCCCGGGTTCAATTCTCGATAGAACCAACAAATATTCGTACAATCACGTGTCCTTTACGGAAGCCTCCGGCAAACCATCCTTTGCTCGAAAACCTCCTTTTATCGCTTATTCAGTTGTTCAATGCTTGTGCTTTCTTTAATTATTCTTCTTTATCGTGAGAACAAATGTCTAAATTATCTGTTCCCATGAGAAAGAAGAAAGTAGTTAAAGCAAGCACAAACATTGCACAAAATTGATAAGCGATAAAAGAAGTCCTTGAATTCAGAACTTTGAATCGCAATATCTCGTCGGGTACATATAGAGGAAAAATAAAAACACTTTTATCATATAATTCGAACCTAAGCTATCCATTGAGCCTACTTAGAAATTGATCCATTCAGCCATTGTTGAGATCCAATAATCTCGGATGCTCGCATCTCGCCGGCTCGCGTAAGGAAACACAATCTAGTGCGGCGCGTCCTCTATAGTGCCGAGCCACGACTGACGACCATGTCTCCTGAATCCTGATATATGTATAAAAAGATATTCAAATCACGTTGCCTCATTATTTTATTTATTTTAGTATTGACCAATGCAAAATTATAGAAATGATTTAGTGAATTCTAGTATTTTACAAATACTTTGCACGAAATAAAATTCGAACAAATAAATTTCCTTATTACTAATGTTCAGGGTTGGGTAAATTATTTTTTTTTTTTTAACTAAGTTAAGTTAAAGTTAACAGTCCAAAAAATTTAACTCAGTTAAGATACAAGTTAGTCCATAATAAAATTAATTAAATTAAAAGTTAAGTTAATAAAAAAAAATTAATGGAAAATTAAAGTTTTTTTGTTTCAATAATTTTAGGGTTTTTAAATAAAGCTTCTAAATAAAGTGTCTATATTTATTATACTTATTTCTGTCAAACCGCGGAAGAGGACCGCTTTCAAAGGACTTTTTCTAATAGGTATAATTTAATTAATAAATATATATAGAAGGTCTGGGAACAATGATTCCTTCTTGTGGCCAGACAGGCCAGACTATATTTATTATATTATAATAATTGCCTTGATGGGCGTTCTTAAATTTGAGTTTGAAGACACCAACGCAGATATGTATTTTATTTTGAGTTTTCAAGAAGCACTAAAAATGTAACTTCAAGAAAGTTAGATCAATAAAGTTAATCTAGATAAAATCTAACTGAATTAAAAGTTAAAAGTTAAGAGTTTAAAATGTAACTAAGTTAAGTTAAAATTATTTAACTTTTTAACTTAACTTTTATTTTTTGAACTAGGCACTACTCAACCCTGCTAATGTTTCATGTTCTTTGATTTTTTTTTCAGCGTTACGTAACAATACGGAATCATTTATGTTACCTCACAGAGTCCATACATTTTTTGATATCACTAATCTTCGTATATATACATTAATGTATCTATATCAATTTCCGATGATTTACATCTCCATATGTCACATAGCAGCGATTTGCCTGGTGGTTATGTTCCGCACTTGTCGCGAATTGTTCATTTTGTCATATCGTATCAGACATGTTGGAGAATACTCGGAAAGCATATGCTAATAAACAGAATTGGTAGTATCGTTCGCACGCATTTCAAGATATAACATGGTAAGAATAATATCTATTATATGCGTGCACAGATCTCTGCTTAATTTGCTTCTTTATTCTGTTTGTGCGTTAATTTATCGGAACATTACGATGAAGGATGGCGAAATCCGTAGACGAGATTTTCAATTTGGTTCTTCTGGATGAATTCTCCGGTAATAGTGTTGTACTGGCTATCTCGATGTATTATGTTTCAATGGTACGTCACATTATTAAATATAATTCTTATGAAAAGTTATCTTAAATTAGCAATATTAAGTGCAATATTAATTCATAGAAAATAAACGCTTATATTTTAAGATATTTATGAAGTTTATTTGACATTACGTCTCTCTCTCTCTCTCTCTCTCTCTCTCTCTCTCTCTCTCTCTCTCTCTCTCTTTTAATTTTTTCTCTATAAAATTATATTAAAGTGTCTATCTAAAAGCGAAAAAGGCGATCAAATCTCTCGTTACCTGATCAACTGTATGGTGGGACAAGGAAAGCATTCAACTCTCTATCATCCTCTCTTCCTTGCGTTTAATGAAGAAGGGGGCACACATATACTAAATATTTATTAATATATGATAAGAGAAAATCCTTTATATGTATGGATTTTCAAATGACACTTTAAATATTTCAGAACATGGATGTTTTAAACATAGCATCCTGCTGCACATTTATATTTTTCGCCATTACTGCGCTTGTCATGTTCTTCGGTGTATTGCTTGATCGGTGATCAGTTAACTCAATAGGTATCATAAAGGATTAATAAGCGAAGATATCTGACTGAACGAACCTCTTTTGTCTGACATTATTAATAATGATTTTTATCGCAATTTTTATATTAAATGTTTATACTAAATCGATTGTTTTGTGTTTAGAGTATTAAGCGGCGTCTACAATGAGACTTAAGACTTAAGATTTAAGAAAATTGATCAATCACAATTGATTATTCTTTTTACATGAGATGAATAATCGACTATGAATGGTCAATTTTCTTAAATCTTAAGTCCCATGTAGACATCGCTTAAATGTAAAGAGGCATATTATATCAATGCAATTAGTACGAGATGCCGTTCAATTGTAGGAAATGCCTTCTGATATATACGATTCACGGTCAAATTATGCTCTATTTAACTGCCGGAAGATTTTACATATTTTTCTCAAATAGTTTTATTGACGTAAGTACGTTGAAGTGACATCTTTACCGATAAAAGTAGAAAATGCAATTCAAATCGATTTAATTAAAACTCACGATCGTTAGTGATTTAATTTACTTTATTATAATTGAAGAGCTGTTCAATTTGTTCTAAATCCACATTTTTAGAAAGAAAAATTACGTACAAGTTATACAAGTTATTACTTTGTGTATTATATTCTCCATACAAAGCTCTTCAATTAAGCTTTCCCGGAATCTTTGAATCAATAATTTCTGTCAATAAAATTCTGTAAGTATATGTATATTGATTCAGATTATCAAAACTTCTTTGACGTATTTGTCGATGCTGCGTATCCTATTATGAAAAAAATGTAAGAAAATTATTATTACAGAATGTGATTCACAATATTAAACAAGTTTGTATAGTACCGATAGAAAAATACATTTAAAACATATGCTAAACCTACATTTTGAGTTATGTATATATTGTCGTAATAAATTTATAGTATATAAATCTAAAAATCTTGTAGTAGAAAAAAAATTTAATAAAAATCGTATATAAAATAAATTTTTCACAAAATTAATTTAAAAGAACATAGTTTTAATAAAGAAAATAAAGCTTTTTAGAATATAAAATATTAGTTTATGTTTAAAAACAATAATAATTGATATCTTACGATTAATTAGAATTTAGATTTTTAGAAAATAATTTTTATTTGTATTTGTTCATAAAATGCACTTCTTCGTTTGTGCGTTGAAATCGAGCGCATTACAATGTTAAATATTTATCCTAAATATTATATCTTTCGAGTGCATTACAATCAAATATTTAGTCAAACAATCTAAAATACACAGATTTTTTATTATAACGGAAAAATTATTGTTCTGAGGTTGCGATCTAGAGTTACACTAACACAACATTTTTGTAGTAAAATAAAGCTGGATTTTTTGCATGCGCGATCTAAAACAAACTGACAGCAATTTGTACCTGCAAACGTACAAATTTGCGTTGATGTGAAGAACCGATCATGAAAAAACAAAGCGTTCGACTAGTATTTTACTTTGGATTAAACAGGTGGCTTCAGTAACACGCTTATGTGCAATTTATACTTTAATTTTGGGCGAAGTTATGGCCCGGCCTATAATCGCCTGTGCCCAGATTCTATAGACTGCTCTAAGCACGAAAACGGAGTTTACTTGCGATCCTGCGCTCGTACATTCGGTACAGTTTTATGCGAGCTCCCGAGGAAAGAACAGCGCATAGCGCGATGCAGGTGAGTAGCGAATTCTCATCAGTGTAATTGCTGCAGTTGTACGTCATATGAAGAAATATAAGATATTACATCATTTGACGATTAATTGCAGAGACTGTTTTAAGGCCCATCTACATAAGTCGCAAAACGCAAACGCGGACGTTTCTCTCCTTTTTTCTTTTTTTTACGTTTCTTTCCTTTTTTTCCGCGTTTGCGTTTGCGTTTTGCGTTTGCGACTTATGTAGGTGGGCCTTTATAATATTTTTCTCAGGAACAAAAAGACTTGGATTGCGCGGCCCAAGTGTTGTCTTGGAACAAACGGCTAATGTTGACGCTGGGCCTCTGGCCTTTTCGACCCAATGATTTTATCTTCTCGATTAACTTCGGCTAC